TGGCCCGGCTCAAGGTGCAGCGGAAGGTGAGCAGGAACGAGGATCTCCTGGCCCCGGCAGAGGGAGCGAGCCCAGGAGGTGAGCTGATTTGGGGGGTGGGCCTGCCCCGGCTAGGGGAGCCGGGGAGGCGAGGGCCCGCGTTGTCTCGGCACAGTGGAGGGGTGCCCCTCTGGACCCCCTGGAGTGCTCCCGCACGGCGCCCCGGCTGCAGCTGGGATCTTCTGTGTGCGTCTGACCTGACTGCCGTCTCCCCAGCCCCGCAGCTACCGCGCTACGTCCGAGTGAACACCCTGAAGACTTGTGTGGATGATGTGATTGATTTCTTCAAGCGCCAGGGCTACTCCTACCTGGGCAAGGCCTCCAGGTAGATGTATCTCTGTGCTGTCCTGGGGCCCCTTCGTGGGGATGTCAGTGAGAGAAGGGCTCGGGAGAAGATTCTCTAAGTTGAAGGGTCGTTGATCTTGGTGTTTGTGGTGGCTGATTTGGGATCTCCACCATGATGCTCTTCATTCTTTCCACCTTTCCAAGCGTTGCTTGGCACCAAAGTGGAATGGGGGCAAGGGAAGAAGGGGGATTCTCCACCTGGGCTCTTCAGAGTTTTGGCATTGCCGAAGCAGGACTGTGTGTTGATCCTCTTTGTGGCTTTTGAGCAGCGTAGAGGAACTGAGCTCCCTCTCAGGGAAGAAATTCCTGTTGGATCTTCATCTCCCAGAGTTGCTGGTCTTCCCTCCACAGACAGACTTCCATAACAACCAGCTCTATACTTCTGGGCACATAATACTTCAGGACAAGGTGGGTGAGCTGGGGTGCAAGAGGCTGCAGTTGCAGGGGTAGGAAAAGAGCTGAAATGAGTGCAGGGTGGGCCTTCTACATGCTTGGGCCTGGTTTGCTACAAGATTGAAGATTGAATTTTGAATGCAGAAATTTTAAATGCAGCCTGCAGGTATGGGGTTCTCCTGTAGCTCTGGTTCCCTAGCTTGTAGGTACTGGATGGACACTCAGAACTGCACTTAAAAACTTCCTTCAGGGAGCTGAGCCAGCAGCTGGGAGGTGTGTGGGACTGTGGCTTGGGCAGTGCTGCTCCCATCACGCTGGGAGTTGTTCCTAACAGTGGGGCAGCAGTAACGGCGGGTGTTTTGTAGTATTAGTCCTGTGTAGCTGTGCTACCTTTGACCCTGCAGTGTTGCGCATCACCTAAGGGCGGGGTCTGGGGGGGGGGTGGGTGGGGCGGGAGGCGAGGCACTTGTGGCTTTGCACATCTCATGGCTGTTCACCCTCTTTCAGGCCAGCTGCCTCCCTGCCTTCCTCCTGAGTCCAGCTACTGGCTCCCACGTGATTGATGCTTGTGCTGCACCTGGGAACAAGACCAGCCATGTGGCTGCCATCCTGAAAAACAAGGGGTGAGCGCAGGCTCTGTGTACTGGAGGGGAAGGGGTGCAGCTTGCCCTGAGCCTGCAGGAGGCAGGCTAGCATAAAGAGAAGGCAGCAGGACTGAAGCAAAGCTGCAGCCTGTGATCTTGCCCTGCTAAATTAGGCTTGACATCCACTTCTCTCTAGGTGGGTAGGGGACTCTGATTGATAGTTGTGGGGGGTGGAACAGCCATTAGAAAGGCTTGAGAGAACAGGAAGTCACTTAGTTTCACTTCCCAGCCGCTAACAAAGATCTCTGCCAGAGACCAGCCCTGCTAGCCCACGTACATGGGAGCTCTGCCTCCCCACAGACAGAGGATGTTTGGGGCTGCTGGTGGTGGTTGGGCAGCCTGGTGTGGTGAACGGGATTCTTGGGGCTGGGCAGGGTATTCATTCCTCTCTTGGGGCCTGGGCTCTATGTTCAGGCAGATCTTTGCCTTTGACCTGGACACCAAGCGCCTGGCCACCATGAACACCATGCTGATGCGGGCTGGGGTCACCAGTTTTGAGTTGGCCCAGCAGGACTTCCTGAAGGTTGATCCTAGGGACTCCAAGTACAGCAAAGTGACCTATATCCTCCTAGACCCATCATGCAGTGGCTCAGGTAATGTGCAGGGCTTAGGCCATCTCATCTGCTACAAGGCAGCAGGCTTGAGCCAGGTTCTTGGCATCTGGACCTGTGGGTGACTGCTGTTCTCTCTGCAGGGATGGTGAACCGGGTGCCAACAGAGGAGGCTGCCCCCAGCGCAGAGCGGCTGCAGGGGCTGGCTGGATTCCAGCGCAAGATCCTGAACCATGCTCTGAGTTTCCCGGCTGTCCGGCGCCTGGCCTACTCTACCTGCTCGGTGCACCAGGAAGAGAATGAGGATGTGGTGCATGCTGTGCTTCAGGAGCAGGGCTCAGCCTTCAGGTTTGCCTGCTTCGAGGAGGAGATGGGGAGGGATATGCTGCAGCAGGGTAGTGACACAGGATGCCACGGGGTTGCTGCTGCCACAAATCAGAAGACAATGGGATTGTGCTTGTTCTTGTGCCATGCCATGGGAAGTATGCTGTGTGCTGCTGGTGGCAGAGTTGATGCAGAACTCAGCTCTGTCCTGGTCTGTCCTGCACTCCAGGCTGGTGAACGTGTTGCCTTCTTGGCCCTGCCGAGGACTTGCTACCTTCCCTGGGGCTGAATGCTGCCTCCGAGCCTCTCCTGCAGACACGCTCACCAATGGCTTCTTTGTGGCTGTGCTGGAGCGGTGTGGGGAAGAGGCTGCTGTCCCCAGGTAAGAGGGCCCAGGAGACTCTAACAGGGGGATGGTGACTGGGCTCAGGTCTGTCTGTATGGTGTCTGCACCTTTGTGTTTTTAGGGGGTTTGAGGGGCACCTAGAGGGTGGAAGGAGGGAGGCGTGGGGGGGTCAAACCTCACTCAAGAGCACAGAAAGAGACCACAGGAGCCATGGTACTGGGCTGAGCAGGGCCTCAGGTGCTTAACTCGGGCTGTTTGCTCTTGTCCACAGCTCCCTGCCCACAGCAGCTGAGGTAAGCCTACAGCAAGGAGGGGGAGTGGACCCAGGGGCTGCTCACAAGAAGAAAAGGAAAAAGCAGCGAGTGAAAGAGTGAACCAGCTTTTCTTAGGACTGCACATGGCCCAGCTCTGCTTCTGGTAGAGACCTCTCCTGCTGCACCCACTGCTGCACTACCTCCCTTGGGCTGCATGACTGAAAGGCTGGAGCTCTGTCTCTGCCCCTGGACAGCAGGGCCTCTCTGATGTAGACCTGTAAAGTAAAGCTTTGCACCAGCTGCAGTTGTGTTGGACTACTGTAAATCTGTGCCTCTCTCTGGGGTTGAGGGGGCTGGGGCTGTCTGTTCCCCAGGGTACCCTGTTGCAAGGAAAGGGTAAGCTGCTCTTCCAGCCCTATGCAGGCTTGCTCTCAAAGCCAGATCTGGGCTTAGGCAGGTTTGCGAGGTTTAATTGAACAGTAGCAGTGTTCAATGTATCCAGAATTTCTGTACCCTGCTGGGCTGGATTTCGCCTGCTGCAGTAATGATGTCTTACTACTTTGTCCCCCGAAAAAGCCTTACCTCAACCTGGGCTGGGGTTTGAGAAAAGAATCTTGTAAACGCTGCAGTAGCAGTAATGAAAGAGGCATTAGCTTCTTTCTCTTGCTCCTCCACCAAGTATATATCACAGTAGACCTTTAGGCAGGAAGGTGCCTGATCTATAAGTGCCCTAACTGCAGGGCAAAGTGAGGCAAAATAATAGTAAGCTAACAGTCCTGTCCTGTCATCAGCACTCAGACCATTTCTAACAGGCGAGCAGGAACAGTCAGGCCTGAGCGCTGGAAAGCAGCACCACCTGCTGTTCCAGCAACGCAGCGCCCTGCTCAGGCACTGCAAGGCAGGAGGACTAAAACACAATGGTGAGCCAGACATGAACACAGTCTTTTTATTTTAAATCAGTGACAGAAGAAGCAAGGAAAAAAAATTGCACATTCACACTAAAAAAAAAAAAAAACCTCATCAGCCACACCAGGAATGATCCAAGTCTTCACTTTTGTGTTAAAACCCAACCTCCTAGCACTTTCACTGTCCACATACTGCAACCCAGTCACACAGGTCTCTCCCA